CACCGATACAAATAACACCCAGATGATCAGCGCGAGTCCTAATGAGAAGTACCGGGACAGCCAGTTATGTCGACAGACCCTAGTGGTAATTCCGCAACGGAAGGAGAACAATGCGAAGCGTAACAAGTCCGAAGGAAATCTTCAGTTCCGCCCGTGGCGATTGCCGCATCCGGAAATGCGTATGCGGTTATGCCGGCCAGTGACTCCCTGGAAAAAGTGGTGTCCACAGCAAAAGGTCGATGCCATCCGCTGGTTGAAGGCCTACCCGGAGCACTGTGCGGAAGAAACGCAAAAAGAATGGGTAATGCCGGATCAACGGTTTTGGCCGGTGTTTGTGGATGGCGTTTGGCGGTTACCTGCTCAACAAGCAAGGAAGCGCAAAGCCGCATCTAAAGCCCAAGCAAATATACACGGAGTGGCATCATCTTGGACGGACGCTATTGCATCTGGGAACAAGCCGAATACTGAAAAATAGAGGTACTTGAAGAATGGTACTTTTAAAAAAACACTTTAAAAAAAGTATCATCGTGAACGCGTTATACTGGCAGTCTGGCACGCTGTAATACCGTAATAGTGTGATTTTTGCATCAGCAGAATAACTACTTTTCTCTCACTTGTCAGGGTAATGAATCTGCGGGCCCGGTGCACGAGCCAGGTGCCACTTTACCGGAAACCAGTCCGTATGCAATTAAACCCCGGCTCAGTCACAGCAAGTGGATTCGTGTTTGTAACATTTGTGGGCAGGATTTGTACAGCATCCAACAGTTGTACCGGCATTTGAAAACAGCACATGCTATTCGATTATGGTCACTGCGCAAGTAGATGATGAGATGACAGGTCACTGCGCTCCTGTTCCTGCGAACACGATGGCCAATAAGTTGACGAGCATTCACGTAATCCCGCTGATGGGTGCACTTCACGTTCATCGAAAAATTGGTAAACACTAAATAGTCGAATGTTTTTGTACAAAGTACAACACTGTTTTGCCGCCGGAAAATGCCGCAACTATTGGAACACCACCGGCTAAAAATGCAGTGCCTGCATAAGAACATGCTGACGTTGTATAACTGCAATAGGTATACAAAATTCAAACACAGTAACTTTTTTAAGGTCTAACCATTACATTTAAGCTTACGGCTCTAAATTCAGTTGTGCATAAACAGTATTTAAAAGAACAACATTAAATATATATATATAAGTGCTAAAACGTGTGCTGCTTTGATATTATATAGAGTCTTTCATCAGCTTTTACACCTGACATTCTGAATTATAGACGTCGATTGTAAAGGTCATACATTTTAAAATAAATATTGCTATACACTATACGGCAATAAAGACGTGGTGTTGTACAAAGTGCTGCACAACCATACAAAAGCAGCAAAAGCCTGAAAAAAGCCTGCCATAATTCGAGAAGCGATTGTGGTGCAAATAAAAAAAAAGCAAATTCATCTGCAACCGGCAAAACGAATGAACCGTCCGCCCGACAGTTTGCCGCTAAGCCGTAAACATTGTCGGGCCGCCTGAAAAAAATACGACATACCTACTTTGTTCACGACCTTTTCTGAGCTCGAGGACGATTATAAAGCGAATCAAATGCAATGTTCACGGACCGTAGGTCCGAGCTGTGGTAGTCAATGAAACTTTGCTGTTTTTTTATTTGTTTGCGTTTTGGTGCACTGTAATCTAGCAGTATCGCACTACTGTAACATATATTACTGATTCGAGTACTCTAATGGTTTTGCAACGGAAGGATAGAAAAACATAATTTCTCTATCCGAAAAACACATTAGAAAAACATAGAAAAACATAGAAAAAAAAGAGCGCTTTTGTAGAGCAACGGGGCTCCCGCTGCAGTACTTCCGCTCCACGCCACGCCCACCGCCAGCGAACTCTTCCTGGCGCCGCTGATGCGCAACGTCACCATCGTCGGCTCTGACGAGGCGATTCCGGTGCATCACTAGCCTGACCTTTCCCACCCAGTACCTCCATGCTGGGATAAGCTCCATCTGGCGCTACAACGCGCAGTGGCTGGCGGCGCCCCGGTACCACGCTCTGGAGCCCTTCTTGGGGCTGGTAGCCACGCCTCCGCGGCGGCGCCTCCCCCAAGCATGTTCCGCCGTGGCTGCGGGACCGTATACCCGGAGAAACATTGGCGGAATACAGGGTTTTTGAAAATAACACCGACGGCGACAATTACACCAGCACGCTTGTCTTTCCGACTGCGCAGCTGCGGGCGCCGACACTGGCGCGGGTGGAGTGCTGGGTGCAGCCGGATCACCAGCGGGAAGTCTGGCTAAGGCAGACGGCGTACTTGCACTACATATCGGCAGCAGAACTGCTCAGATGGCTGGCTGCGAAGCCGCGGTTTCATATACAACGTTTTAGTGTAGAAATTCAGCGTGGTAATGCTGCCTGTGTATTGGGAACTGTTGAGCAGCATGAGCTGGATGGTTTATTTTTAATCTGTGCATGGTTTGTTCTCGAAAATTATTTTCAATTTAATTATTCATAACACTGACTTTTTTAAAACTGTTTATGGGGATATACTCATTCAAAAAGAATATACCCTTTTGTGGAGAAATGAAATTGGCTGCATAGGGCACAGTGCAAATGTATAATGGCCTGCGCTAACGGCTCTTGGGCACTGACAACACTAAGTCTTGAAATCATCCAAATTCGAGCACTGTAAAGCAGAAAAGCAAAACTGTTATTTGTGATTTTAGGGTGACTGTTCTTATGGTCGTGAACGCTCGTAACTGACCTAGCGCGGTTACCCAAAAACATGAACGCAAAAGCACCGGCACTCCACAAGCCCGATCTGTGTACACCTGGCTAGTTGTTTCGCGTGCTCTGCCAGATTTGTACACTCGTACTGGACAAGCCAGGCATGAAAAATGAATACAACGAAGGGTGCTAGTGCAAACCGTATTATCACACACGGAACCAGCGTCCAGCCTTTTGGATCGACAATTATAAAGCAGGCGTTGGTCGTACTGACCGGTGCAGCACACCCGCAGCGACAACAGCGGCAGTGGTGCCATAGAGCCAACTCCGCAGATGTTGACCAGAATTCCAAGTAGGAATAAAAATGCCCGACTGTCGCGCTGAGTGCTCGGGGCCAGCATGTTGTCCTGTCTACCGTTCTGAATATGGTGTGTTTTGAATGCAGGTAAGCGCATGCTACACATTCATGCACAGCAAATTGCGGAGCAGAGAGTGCCAACACTCGAAACTTTTTTAAATTTTATGACGCATTTTGGAACACCTAAAGTGAGTTCATTTGAAATACTGGTAGGTAAAAAGGATGTCACCCTGACATCGGTGTAAGACAGATTTTCATATTTACTTTTGTTTATTAGCACAATTCGAAGAATATCAGTACATAACTAATTATGTGCTGATAATCTCGAATTGCGCTTATAAACAAAACCTTTGGTACGTCTGGTTGTAGCTAAACTTTGGGGAATTTACGAACAGCTACAGCGCAACTCCCCTACCAAATACTGTGCGAACAAACGGTTTCCCGTTAATGCGTACAGGCCATTCAGCTGCACATTCATGGCATGTCGGCACGAAGCACACGGCAGAAAAGTATTTGGTTTGGGATGGCGTCAGTACTGCTGCTGAATCGTCAATACTGTTATAGCCACTTTGACTTGTACCACGATCAAGCGGCTCAACTGACGTCTTTGGCCAAAGGCTGGCCAGAGACGATAGTGACCTTTAGCGTTACCTTTTCCTATGCTTATGGTGCTCTTTTAGATAGCGCTCAATTTGATTAGTCCGATTCCTAACAAGTAACAACCACAACGGAACTGTCCTGACTGCCTTGGCATGCAACCATGTACGAGTACAAGATTATTGAATGTTCGACGCCGTACGCACAGAAGTAAGTGGCAACGATTCCTGCATTTTAATCGGCAGTAAATCAGAAATAGGAGAATTACAATACACCGTTTCCGATAAACAGCAGCACCGGCACATGCTCCGTCAGCATGCTCCGCCGCTCTCTCGCGTCAGCGTCACCGTCGAACGCCGGCCAGTCGCCGTTAACTAACCACTTAACTTCCAGTACGACACAACCCACCGCCCAACTATCACCGCGCAGTTCTAGCTTTCGCAACTTGTCAGCGGTATTGCTCGGCGCGGATTCGCTCCGGCGGGACGAAGAGGAAGGTGCCCCGCTCGTATCCCTCTGCGCTGCGTCGCTGATGTGCCAGTGATTTTAATTTGAGGGTTGCTTGTCTTGTAATTGGTGCGTTGGCCCAGATCATTATGTTGGCGCTCCCCAATCGCGGTGTGCGTAGACGTGATCGTGCAAGTATTCCAGACCGGCGAGACGGCGACGATTTGGCGGGTTATGTCTTACAATTGGAGAGCGGGGATAGTGTTGTAGTACTGCTGATCAGTTCTATGGTAAACATCTCCAGTATGATAAAGCAAAACAAAATACAAGCTTGTCTCGTACTTTCTAGCGCCTCAACACAACGGCAAGAACGCAACTCCTGCCGGCACGTGGCGCTACGCCAGACGATTTACCCTCTACGTGCATGCATTCCGGCATGGCTACCTATTACGTGCCAAAATCTCCATCTAATTTATAATAACTACCGATGTATACAAATTATAAAGGCATAACTTTTCTCCTGTATAATGACCTAACTCTTGACAGGGGTGAATTAGTTGTCATTGTCGTAAACGTAGTTACGTTTATAGATAATCGTTCACAGCGCAACTTTCGCGCTAAATACTTACCGGTACGTGTACGGTAGAAATATTATGGGAGAAGCTTGGTGGACTACACGGACACGGGCATAGTACATGATATTATGTACAATGCGACAGCACTTTTTCTGAGACCAGGATGTTTATAATTTGCAGCTGGGACTGCTCACGATGTCTGTAAGTTTTATTGCTCTTGGCATGTTCATATTTGTTCATAAATGATAAACTCATTCATGTTCATTATCACATCATAGACATACTGTATCTGTACTGTATATAATATAAAGTCTTTTTTTCTAGTTCGTCATAAGTAGACATAATTATAACATATGGGAAATGCAAGCCAAAACTTGTTAGGAAAAATGAACTAAAAAATTGCCAGTAGCATTTAATTGACTGTGTCTGTACATGTGCTACGAAGTGCCGGCCGGTAGCAACAAATAACCGGCACGGATAGTGTCAGCCGAAGTCTAAGAGCACGCAAAGCGTTACGAAAAAGAATAATTATCAATAATTAACTGAATTATTTATCACAGAAGGTCATGCTCGACGGTACGCTGCACAGTCCCGGTATCTTGAATAAATTAGACGGTCTGCAGATGTTAAGCAGCGAGGACGACGTCCCAGGTGCCGAAGAAGGACTTGTAGTCGCCGTTGTGCTGCAGCGGCGCGATTTGCGAGGGATTGCTGGAGCCGCAGCGCTGGCAGGAGTCGTTCGGGCCCAGGTACGTGTCTGCCAATTAAGACACATGTAAGAGCCATTATAATTTCTCTGCTTAGCGCAAGTGTCTTATATTATTGCTGGAAACGAGTGTGTTATCAATGTTTTGTACATTAATTACAGTAACAGAACACTGTTATCGCGACCATTATAATTTCTGACATTCAGTTAAGCAATGCTCCATAATGCACTCAATCTGCCATATCTTCACAGTGGCAAAGAATTACCCTTCTGTTAACATTTCTTAGCTGAGTGTGCAGTGTGCACGTGGTAATTAAGCGTTTGCGAATATTCAGATACAAACAGCGGCTATAGTTGTACATGTCAATGTCTTGAGGATTAATTAAGAAGCATGCTAAGCCGTGTGATTACAATACATGGTTACAACTGCCGTGGCCGTATGAAAAGGACGTACCTTCGGCGAAGTAGAGTTGCGTGGTGAAGATGGGCCCGACGGGGCGGTTGTTGGCGTCGACGGGCGTGATGCGGAAGTGGATGTGCGCCGGTCGGTAGCCGCCGTCGTCGTAGCGGCCCGGGTAGATGCTGTCGAACTGGTAGTAACCGCTGTTATCGGTGTAGATACGCAGACGGCAGCCCTGCACAAAAATATTTGTTCAGTACACAGTTGTGCAACTTGTGCCCATGAATTTACGTAGCTATACATGCAAATAATCATAGCCCCGATAAGTATAAAAATAATAAATAAATAACCCCGCTGAATGACAGGCATAAGAAATAATACTAAACGATCCCAATAATTAAGCCGAAAGCGTAAAACTACCGCAAAGGTCAACCTTTGCTTCTGCAAGAAAGTGAAATTAATTTCAAAAGGTCATCCTTAATCTTTATATATAAAGCAATTAATGGATGCTGTTAATAACATAAATAAATACACGCGACAGTACGTATACATACGTAGTCGGGGCTCTGGGGACTGATGTTGCTGTAGACGCCGTTGAAGTCGGCGGACCAGATGTCCATCAGCGCACGGACAGCCTGTCCTTGGCAGCCCTGGCCGGTCTGCAGCCGGCGGATGGTGCCGTTGAGGAAGAGGCGGTCGTGCGCGGGGACGTTGTAGCACAGACTGGCCCAGTCGCCGTTGACCGCCAGCGGGCGGATGGGCGCGTTGGGCTTGTAGTACGGACCCAGGATGTCCGGCCGCGTGATGTCGCACACGTCCTGCCGCAAACCTGCAACAAATGTCTCCACCTATAATCCCATACCGATGCATGCATTCTTTATCGGTCCGTATTTTAGTAATTTTATTTTTTACTTTCTTCTTTATCTTTCGATACCGTTGTAATTCATTATTATATACTGACCTCGGTTGTTGTTGCGGTTGGGATTATCGTTGGTGTACTCCGCAAACTGGTCGTACTGTCCGGCGGCAGCGTAGCCGATCACGCAGGCTAACAAGACAAACTTCAACATTTTCACTGATATAATGGTCAATTAGACAAGAAAATAAATAAGCGCGGAAGAGTGCAACGGTATAGCGAGAATGCCGAACATGGCGCAGCACTGCGTCGGTATTTTAAAGACTTCCGGCGGGCGTCGCAGTCTTGTTCGGAGCGGGAACAATGGTGGCAATGGAACGGCTGCTGGACGGGCTTTGTCGTCTTATCAACGCTTATCAGAATCTGAACTTGTAGCGACAAAACCATACTGTTGCACTGCATGCACTGCGCATTGTCGCGCTGACAGTGGTTTACATTTTGTTCAATGAACCGTTCGATTGGCTTCTTGTGTTGCAAAGATACGGCGCGTACCATTGGAACACATCATGATGTAAAGTGTATACTGTGTAGTGTGCAACAATCTTGCAGTCTAATCAGGAATTAAATGACAGAAAACAATATTACAGTACTCTAGTCACATGCTTAATTGCAGGGCTCTGTATCGTATCTATTCACCATTCTAATCAGCGCTTACCTTAGCCGGCGATAAAATCTCACCTGCCGTCCTCTTCGCTATATTCTTTATCAGTCTGCGTAATCAACTATAGCTGCAAACCGGTTTAGACGTGTTGAAATCAAATCATGAGCGCCTGCACACGGGTAAGATGCAGCGGGAAAGTGATAAAATTTACTAAAGCGATGGGAAAGTTGCCGCTTGCCTTACTACATAATGAGTTATTTATATAAGGGCTACTGACCATTATGGCTTATCGAACCAGGCTACTCCCATTCCCTGTACCACTGCCGGACTTTTACGTTGTGCCTAAACATGGTGCTTATGCGCCGCGCCTGATTTAACCATATGTACTGCCGCAACGTCACACTCCAGCCGGCTGACGGCAGCATTGCCGTCAACTGGTTCGACTGACATGGTTTTCCTCCCTATATAATATATGGCTTCGCTTTCCGCTTCAGCAAGCACTTCAAATTAATTCATGTAGTTTGTGGTAATAATAGTTAATTCATTTAAATTAACTTGCGACTAATATTTATAATAAACTTATTAATTCTATCTGCGAAAACGTTGTCAGTACTTACATTATTATACGTACATACTGTACATTAAACAGCTAATTCGAGAGAGAGATACATGTACAGGTGAATTATTAACGATGAATCGTTTTTATTAGAAGCAACTTAAAACGCGTAAGCCATATATACCACCCGGTGACCTTTAGCCAAACATGCACACAACTAGTTTGAAATAGAGGTAAGAAACTGACGTCAGAATTGGTGGAATTCTAATGCTCGTGCGTATAAAATTGTATGGGTATGAAGTGCATCGTGCGGTGTGTCGGTCACTCGGCGGCGTTGTCCATGACGGCCTCGCGCTCAAAGCGGGCGTCTTCGGCGGCGCGGGAGTGACGGTAGCCGGAACCGCGGTAGCTGGATCCGCGGTAGGAGGAGCCCGAGCCGCGGTTGTAGCTGGAGCGGCGACCCGAGCCGCTGTAACCCGACGATCGGGAGTAGCTGTCCTTGGCTTCTACACCGCTATCCACCAGCAACACGCCTGCACATTTAATTAATTTGTATTAATATTAGTACATACTAATACATACAATATTATGCAGTTATACGTATACAGCACGTGTTTAATTTACTAACAGCAACAATAAAATTAATATAATACTTGGTATTATATATAATACATGTACATATATTAATGACAGTAATTAATGGTGATACATAAATATAAATATATATAATACTTGCTTAATGGCAATATTTAATACGAATATTAATTAAATACTTTAAATATAGGTATTAGCTGTCGATTTCAGTAATTCTCGAACAGCAGCGCAATAACGCATAATTCGTTCAGCATTTACTCGCTTACCGGCAACGATAGCCACGATCAGCACAAGAGCGATGACCTTATACATTCTGCTGCCTTTTCCCTAGTGAACGGAATAGAAGAGCAAATTCCAAGGCAATGGAAGACTTCAGCCGAATTAAAGTTCTTTCTTCCCGGTCGAACAACTACGGTGAAATGTCAACTTTTTACTGGCTTTTTATACCGATTCTTCTTTGGCGAATAAATATACGTTGGTGTCACGCCGCATGCAAAGTGACGCGTAAATTAATCCCGGCACACTTTTGTCCAGGCACCATTATTTGCCATGGAATCTTCTTCGATGCCAACACCTATGGACAACCGTCAGGCCGCCTTACTCATCAGACCAGACCGCTTCTTCTCGTATATGCGTAGTGGAGTGGGCGAAACCGGTAGAATTAGTGCAAAATCAATAAACTTCAACGCTATAATGTAATCATGCCGTCCATATCATTGCGCTCACACGTGTACGTATCTGTAGAAGTACACTAATTCGGTAAATAAAACTACGGATTTTATTAATCCACGGGGTCAACAATTTTTGACCTAGCCAAAAATGGCGCTGCGACCGTGGCAGATTTTAGCGTGCCTGGGAACTGTTAGCAGTCGGTAAATTTTGCCTAACGCGTCAAGTTTGATTGAGCTGAAAAACGGCAGTAAAAAGAGAAATAAAAACATAGGGATGAAAAATAAAAATGTAGACAAGTTAGGATGAAATTTATTTCTCCAGAATAATTTGTTTCTTAAGAATAAGACATATGTATTTTCAAAGAGCAAAGTAAAAATCTGAACAGTAAACACAGAAAAAGAAAAACAGGAATAAAAGCGAGAAAATAGGAAATAGCGGCGAATTATAAAAAATGCGATGTGTATTCATCACACCTGAATTTTATGTTCGTGCGATAATTGAAATTTCTTTCTTGTTTTCCGCTGCATAACAGACAGCACCGGAAATTAATCTTCATAACGTAAAGTGATGTTTGTCTGCCGGAGAAACGTCGTGTCAGCGCGAAAGAGCGGACTCAGTGGAGTGAAGCAAAACACGCGTGACGGATTAAAATGGAAGTGAGCAAACACAGCCACAGCCGTCTTGCAACAGTGGCATTATTTTGGCAGGCTGCAGTACTGCTACCGACAGCCGGCATCGCGGAATTTTTAAATTTAATTTTACCCTCGTGCCGGCTGCCGAGACTGCGTCTCCGACGCTCCGGCCTTCCGGGGAGGCGATGGCGTTTTCTGTGAAACAGTCAAAGCTGCACAGTTGTGTAGTTAGTCAATTAATTTTCCGGTGAAGCTTTCAAAGCATCAACAATAATTCTTTCGCTGGCGATGTAAACAGCGGAAACTGTCCATTTCTCCGAAATATTTTCCAAGTCACAATTTCAACGTCCCGCTAGGATTCTGTGTTTGATTTTTACGCGGCAGGATTTTACAGACAACTTCCGCTTAATTTTCCCGTCAATCTTGCATGACTGTTTTCGGACGTTCCCGGTCGTCTGGGACGGTAAAAGGTCACTTTAATTTTGCGTTAAAATAGCGTTGATTGCATGGAGAAAACAGCTGGCCTGATGCGCGCCGTCACGTGCGCAAATGATTACTAAATAAAACACCGGGAAACACGAGCCGGCACGCATTGTTAGCGGTACAGTAAAACGCGCAAACTGGCTTTATCAAGCGCTCAAATTAAGCGCATTATGTGCCGCGAGTATACGATAAGCTGCCATTATAGCAGCGCGAGGCGGCCTAATCACACGGGCCACTTCCGGCGCGGCGTGGGCGCCACCGCGGAAACCGGCTGGCCAAACACGCAGCGGATGTTGCCGGCCACAATTGGCTGTATTTAAAACTATACTGTATAGGTAATCCGCGACTGCAGCCCGCGCACGAACACCGGCATGTGATCAACGGGAACTTGATTATACACACCATGTCAATCTGAACCCGTGCCCATAGTGTACCTGTACAGTAGCGCTTGTAGTTTGAACGTTTCCTGATAATCCTGACGGTTGATTCTATGAGTGCATTGTGTCCGGTGTGGCGTGTTACAAAAGCGTCAGCGGAAGAGGGTCATTTCACGCCGCTGCAGCGGGAACAGCACCGCTTCCGGCGCTTCCGGCGGCCGCGCGTATTGTTAGCCAGCCTATAATAATGTGGTCGCGCCGCTTAATCAGCCGGTGGATGTGGATGGAGCGGAAATGCGAAAACGCTGTAGCGCAGTGACTCCTCTTGATCGTCATTATTGCCTGCTATTTGCAGCCAGTTTGGCAGGAACGGCTTCGCGGATCGACTGATTAATATAGCGTTATATCTAATTTTTCGCGCAGTTTTTACGTGGAGTGCGTCCCACGCCGTGGAATGCGTACGCCTTGTATGAATGCCAGCTGATTTTCGGTTTACGCACACATATACGGAAAATCAGTCCGGGATGGAAGAACGGCAACAGCTGTACGCGGATTGATCTCCCACGCGATTCCCGTGGTTTTGCAACTAGTTTCTCTCAGCGTGCGATATTTGTGTGATATAACAGGCTCCTGATTTATCTCTTTTAGTAATCCATCGTTCAGTGATAGTTTAATTGCTTTTATTTAATAAGAATGTCCGGCAACGCATCCCAACAATTAGCTGCTGTGGTCATTAATGTGACCTTTACGGGACTGTCGGACGGACCGACGTGGACCGGCTCGGCGCTCTTCGAAGTAGTCGTCACTGTCCTAGCCTTCATTTTTAACACGGCGGTGCTGCTCGTGTTCCTGTACCACAGCCACCTGCAGACCTCCTTCACGCTGAACATCATGGCGTTGCTGGCCTCCAACATCATCCTGACCATCATGAACTTCCCGCTGGACATCATCGGCAGCGTGTACAGCAGCTGGTGGCTGAGCAGCGCCGCCTGCAATCTGTACTTATACGGCAACTGGGTCCTGGAAGGCGGGATGATGCACATGCACGTGTTAATCACGGCCAACCGCATCTGGGCCATGCAGTTCCCGGTGTCGTATAAAACGCACCACGGGAGCAGCAAGCGTACCGGATTATTCCTGATTTTGCTCGCCTGGATTTACGTTCACGTGGTTTGTTTGCCGGGTGTCGTGTTAGACGCGCTGTACTACCGGCAGCCCCCCGCGGACGGCTGCAGCATGAACGACGTCCAGGTGGAGTGGATCAACACGGCGCAGTTCCTCGTCTACGACATGCCGGTGCTCTTCATCGTCTTCGCCTATCCCTTCCTCCTCCTGAAGCAGCTGCAGCGCAACCGGAAGTCCCTGGAGCGCCGCGGGACGCTGATGGTCAGCCACGCCCCCTCGCGCATGTCCCCCTCCAACGGCCAGGACGGCCACCACGCCCCGCTGCAGCGCCGCAAGTCGGTCTTCTCCAAGGAGACCACCCGCGCCTTCCTGGTTTTAACGGTCGTCACAGCGAGTGTGTTCATCTGCTGGACACCCTCGCAGATCTGGTGGACGATCAAACTGGCCAACTCCCGGATCCAGCTGCCGGACATCTTCTACAAGGTCACCTCGGCGCTGTACGGCCTGCAGGCCGTCATCGATCCGCTGCTCTTCGTGGTGACCTTTAAGGACCTCCGCGATGTCGTCCTGGATGGGGTCAAGGAGGGGTGGCGGTGCGGGCGGGAGCAGCGCCGGCGGACCTCCATCTGGTCCAGCAACACCGCCCGCGGCCAGGTGCATCCGGCTTAATAAGGGATTAACCAGCTTGGAGATTAAGCGTTCAGAACGGTGCTTTTTGATTGTAGCCGTAATAAGTGTTAAATTTGCCATAATATCGTGTCAAGTCGTGCGCCGTGTATGATGCATATTAAATAAAATCAGCCATTTATTGTTTACTGTGACGTACTGTACATGCGCGAGTATCCCGAGAATTTAATTAAAGACACCGGGGATAATCTGTACCGATTTGTGAACAAATTAAATTGAGTAACTTTGTTAGTTACCCGTAATTTTAATTAATTCAGTTGGCCTTATCATTGTCACGGTTGTAGGCAAAGGTTGCCCGGCAACGGAATATAGGTACTCAAGAAGAATATATAGAACTAGTAATGATAGATAGAACACATAATGATAGAAGCAAGATGAGTGGAATCATCTGATCTGAATTATCATCTGATGAGCAAGATGAGTGGAATTATACAATGTCATATATATATATACATAATATGTAGAAGTACATATTAGTGCATGCATTAGTACACAAGGACTTGTTGTAACTGCTTTGCTTTGATGATTTATCGTTAGTGCTGCATTTCAGCAAACGATACATTCATGCCAGTTTTCTTCTTAATAGCCGTTGACGGCGTCGTTGTCAGCTTGTTGACTGTGTGCTGACAACGCGATGGAGCCTCGATGGACAAGTGCCGTTGTCGCCTGAAGTGTGCGGCAGCCGGGTCGCTTGTGGTTCATGCAGTGTTCTTCCTGACCCGTTCCTCCTCGTGAGCCTGTCCACCGGCCGTACCGAAGGCCTGCCGCAACGCCACCTGCCACTACAGCATCCAACCCCGTCAGTGCATTCACACTGACCGCATCATAGCTAAGCTCTTTCACTGCAGACGACGCTTATACCTCACGTGCTCTGCAGATAACGGCGTGTTGACCTTTTGCAGTGGAGCGCCTTGTGCAGGACGCCGCGTCCAACCCCGCCAGCAAGAAGATCCACCTGGTCTTCGAGCCAGTCGCCCCGCGCGCCACGCGCCGCATGGTGCAGTTCGTCGCCGTTGACGCCGGCGCGACAGTCGCCTTCCCGTGCGCCGTGCACAACGTGTCTGACCGCGCTCCGCTGCCGCACTTCGCCTGGATGCACAATAAACGTGTGCTGGCCCACCTCCGCAACGGCCGCCTCATCAACACCGGCCCCTTCGACCTCCAGCACTCCGTCCAATCCCGCCCGGCGCCGGCCTCCCCCTTCGCCGACGCCACCGTGACCTTGACCTGGAAGAACGTCACCTGGCCGGCCAGCGGCGACGTGACCTGTGTCCAGCACTGCCTCGGGTCTCCAGGAATGTTGCCCGTGCTACTAGAGACCGCGGAGGCGCCCTTATGCGCCAGTCACTACTTCCGGCTGCTTGTCTTCTCCTCCGCCAGCGAACTCTTTGCAGTCCCCATGTCCGACGTCAGCGTGAATCGCGGGGCGGACGCCCACATCAGCTGCGTCGCCCACCGCCTGGAGGGAAACATGCCGGCGTTTATTTGGCGCCTCAACGGCCACGTGACCGCCGCCCCCGCCGACCACCCGCTGCAGGCGCTGGCCCGTGCCGTGGTGGACCGACGGAGCCGCTTCCTGCCGGCGGAGCACTTCCCTTTAAGCGGCATCTCCACGGCGGAGGATTCCACCATCGCGTTCTCTACTCCGCGACGGCGACGACAGTCAACAGCTCGCTGACCGTCAGCCGGTTGGACCTGCATACGTCGGCGCGTGTCGAGTGCTGGGTGCGGCCGGACGACCGACAGGAGGTGTGGCGCCGGCAGACCGCCTCCCTGGACGTTTTGACCACTCCGGCTGGGTAATGTTTCTTCTCGGGATAGCCGTTTATAGATGTCTGTGGCACGGTGTTGGGTGCTCAATATGCAGTGCACACAATTACAGACTTGTTCTGATTTTTGCATTCACAAATTATTCAAGTACAGAGAAACACGATAACCTAAAATTACGATTTTTTTCAACACTGACAGATAAATAAATAAATCTTCATTAATTTCTGTCTAAAAAAATCAGTTATCTGTCTGATACTGTATTCATAAATAGGAAAAAACAAATCTCTGCCAACGTGAAGCAGAATTTTTCCTTCCGACCGGTGCGTGTATGAGCTAATACATTATTAATTTTACACAGTATCCCAACTAAAAAGAACAAAACTTAAAAGAATCAATGTGTGGGAAGCAAATATACACCAATAAGAAGTTATTAAAATCAAAAATGCCCAGGTCATATTTTGTGCATATTTTATTTAGGAAAGTGGCTCAATCTGTACCAAGTTCGGAATTGACCGTAACTGTCTCGTTGCGGACCAAATTCCGCAACGAGCGCAACAGCGCTAACGTGTATGCTACACTGTTGCGGCGTTGCAGCAGCCCTGTCCAACACACATGCTGGCACTGGTTGCGGCCCGTTGCTGCGTGTTGTGGCTGATAATAATGCAGGCTGGTGACTGGTCTGCCTTGCAGTCACGCTTGTACTGTTGCGGTCTTGTTGCGTCAGATAATGTTTTTGGTGCCGCAACTTGTTGCGCAACAGGATCTTGGTACGAATTGAGCCAGTCCTAATTATAATGTTTGTTGTATAATACATACGAGTATAATATTATTGGTTCCGTATAACATGCATGTTAATCAAATTGCACCTTTCCAATTTTCTAACATAAGAAAATGCGCAAGGCTAAACAAATATTACGATAATCGGAATCTTTCAATCAGAAATCGATGACAAAAATTTTGAATTGTATACCCGGAGAGATATGTATTCCAGTTAGTAGAATACAGTTGTGCCAGATACAGTAATGCGGAAGCGCAGCCGCCGTCGTTTCTTGTCGTAATATAATTTCAAGGAAAAATACAAATTAACATAATGAATATAAATAAATCAAAAGCAGAAGATATTGCAGTAGATAAAGGGTATATTTATGTAATCTACCAAACTAAACAATAAATAGCGAAAACGAAGAAATGCTTCGTCAAATTAAACAAATAAAAATATCATCGTGACGACAAAATGGATTTCAAATATAAAGGAAAAACAAAAATATTTCATCGATTAAACAGCTAAAAATTAATGGGAGAACTTACTGGTTACGTTTGTATGCTGAGGAGGTGTATTTTTATTGTCCTGATAATTTTGTATGGTCCAACCAGCCGTCTTCCCGACGTATCGGATCCCGTACGGATAAAGGTAGTCTACTCTTTATATCGGTATAATAATTACTAAACTGTACTGTACACGGAGTCAGTATAAAGAGCCATATCCGCATAATAATTACTAAACTGTACACGGAGTCACGGACCATACAACTGGTACAGTATAGTGATTAAATCAGCAGTTAACGATTCCGGTATACAACACATATTGTACTGTACAATACAGGGCTGTGGCTGTGAGATTATTCTTAACCAGAATGTGACCACCTGGTGTATATTAGACGTATATTAAATATGACTTCTTTTATTTTCAAACTTCACGAATTAACTTTTTATTTCAAACTTGTACAAACAAATGCCCTTTAAAAACTTAGACTCAAGTAACCAAAAGCTAGAACCAATAAAACAACTCCTCTAGCTCTTTTGAACAACCAACAGCTCAAAGAACAGAAGCGGCATTTCCACGCTGAATTTCAACAAAAACGCGGTAGCGCCCGCCTCTCCTGTTTGTTCCTTTATGCGTCGACCCACTTCATTGATGAACTGACGAGTACTGAACGGGACCTTCCGCGCGGCTACGGTCGTCGCCGGGTCCTAGAAACCTTCCCTACAGCGACGTCAGCCATCTCCCTCCCGACGCTTTCCACACGCGTCTGGGGGATATCTGCACCTCTCGCGACACTGTGACGACATCCGGGACGTCGTCAATCTGTCCGCAACCGCAAGTGATCAGGCTCACGGGCACCCCGGGGCTTGACCTTTTCGGTGGAGATTGGACGCGTCGGACGCGTCGGTCAGCCGTCAACAAATCAATAATTATTTCATTTTAACATGGTTGCAGCATGTGTCTATATAATATGTTTTGCACTGGAGATCGCCCTGCTGAGGACGTGTTGCAAACCCCAGTGATATCGAAATTGAATCCGACCGGCTTGCAAATGTGGCCTGACCCGTCGGCGGTGGTTGCAGTCTTCCGACTTCAAATTTCTTTCAAGCTTTCATTGACGTCTTAGAGCAAAAGTGTTAAGTTTGGGCTGTTTCCCGACCAGTACTCTTGCGAAACAGCCCTACCATCCGCCGAGTGTTACCCATCCGGCGTGACCTTTGCAGAGTCACTGCGGGCACCGTGTAAAGATTGGGTGACCCCATTTCCGCCCTCGCAGTGCAGCCACGGAGTGTCTCAAATGTCCGTTCGCGACAAAATCGCGTTGAAAAAATGTTCAGTGTACGCTTAAAACTCTGCATCAAAACAAAAGGCTCGAGACGTTACCACCGACCACTTCTCCAGCACGTTATGGCTTTTTTAGTCATCGCTTCATTAATTTTTCCCTCCATGTCCCACACTTATATTTCCTTTTCTGTGTTGTAGAATTTGGTGATAGCGCGCAGCGAACACCGTGTGGGCCGTACAATAACTTCCAGAAAAATCCCCGCAGAAATCTTAAGCGCTGAGATTTCCCAGGGGCAGACATAAGCATAAAAAACTTAACCGGTACCCCTTCCCCTAAAACACCGCTCGGCTCCCTACTAGCACATCAAAAGATCAACGTTGGTTTTGATGTTGCTGGATGCGCACTAAAAAATTTTATTAGAAATGTGCCAAAAAAGCAATAAAACGACTTACAGAAATATTTTTACTTTGATTTTATGCAACTGCCCACACGTGCTGCGAGCGACCTGTATATGCGGTAATGCCGGTACATGGTCCAGTCTCCAGAGCGGCGGGATATTTTGTATATAATACAAACAATATTCATACTTTGTATAATATTATAATACAAAGAATATAATACATCCGGCTAGTGCACGTACACAGTACTAGTACCATAAGCTGAATTGTCGGTGACTCGGTACTCGGTATACATGGAGTGTACAGGCTACACCGACATGTACAATACACCTACTGCGTGTATGTACAGGGGTGTATCTGTAGGTGTAGCCAGCAGATTACACCAACGAATGGTGGTGATTAGTTTGTCATTAATTTGTTTTCCTTATGGTGTTGACTAACAGGGATGCCGGTGCAGACAGTGCATTGCTGCAGCATCGCGGAAATGGATAGTACTGTATAGAGGTGTGACGTTCTAGTACTATCATACTCTATCGTACAATACATACAGGTAGCTGCATAGCGCGCTAGCGGTGTTTATAATACCGTAGCCCGGCAATTCTGCAGCTGCTGCACAAATACAGTAGCCGGCTAACTAACTGGCTGCCTGTGTAGCCTGCCCGGCTAAATTCGCCGGTAGTTGCTAATAGAAAAGCTTGTCAGGGCGTCAGTTTGTCACTCTACGGGAAGCAGCTCTTGTGGCGCTAATCGAAGACTCGCATTTTGTGCCGCATCGCCGTTGTGCATTCCAGTGACATCCAGTCGTGATTTTGCCACTGCATCACCATCAAGATGAAGCGCCATCATGATTCCTGCTTGGGAACCTATTTAAGCAACGATGGACGAATTGTCGGCAAAGATCCGTTGCAACCACCGGCAAAACGGCGGAAGATAAATCACCTCCCTCACTCGGGGCGCCATTCCAGAAAGTTCTTCTGTCAGGCGGCCCTCGTGGCCGCTGCAGTGATCCTGTTAGTCTGCATTTTGCAATTGTACCAACATACTGCGTCCGCCATAAAAGCTAAGAAGTTTTCTTCGCTATTTTCTGTACGTGATCTTATTAATCTATATGTTTTCTTTTAAATACTACCGGGGAACTGAAATTCACATTAAAATTTACTATCACTATTACTTGCAATTTATTTTAAGTTAACTAAAATTATGATGATTATTTATTCGAATTTATGGATAATTTAACATATATCAAGTGGGTCTACAAATAGTTGAAATTTCATCAAAATTTTACTTAATTGATTGACTGCACAACTACACATATCGGTAGGCTTCCGCATATTGACACTAATTAAAATGTGCGCTGTGAATCAAGTTGATCTTAATGCGAGCATGACCAGTTGTCGGATTGTACGGCAAGATTTTGCCGACTTATTGGCAAACAACTACGGGAAAGAATTGAACGTAAATATTAACGTTTAATTTCGTAATTAGGTGAATTCAAAGAGGACAACTTACAGGGCACCATCCCTGGTGCCTCCGTGCAGTTTCTGCGGAAATCCATCGGTGAGACGGCATTTGAGACGAAATCCGTCGGAGACACAGATTTTGACGCCCCGACCGCCGAGCAGTCCAGTCTGCTCACAGTCATCAACAAGCAGGCCGACATCATCCAACGCATCGCACGAATGATGGAGTTTTGCTGTGCCCACCAGAGCCATGATGACCTCATCCTGCTACACGTTATCATGCAGCACTTCGTCACTGGTAACGCGCAGGCCACTGAGACCCTCATGGTCTGAGAGAGCAGCAAGCATTTCCAAGGCCACAGCATCTGTGCGTTGGCGGACGCGGCCGCTGTGCCGGTGCAAGGACGGATTCGGCACTACCGCCCGGAAATCCTGGCCTGGAACGGGATGAAAGAGTTTGCGCAGAAGAAGCTGGTCGCCGGATATTTTCTTGGTTAACCATGAAAGACAATAACGATTATCCATGCATTGTATTTGTGCCCGAAATTTGACTGTATGCAAGCGTTTCGCATATCGCGCGAACTACGGTGAGACTCACCACGCCGCTGACAAATTGTTGTGGAGTGATGCGGTGAACTGGAAAATGTCGATAATTAATTAACTGAGTTGTCTTACGTGACGGCAATTTAATTGCTAAGAGTGCGACTGTGCTTATGAATAAACGTGTGAAGTCTGAACCTTACTGCTGCTTGTCAAGTTGGTTTGTGACCTTCGATTTCCCTATTCCTTATGTTTCCAATACTCGTAGCAGATTTGTGTTTGGCTTGGAGAGCCGCCTTACAGCAAATCTAATTATTCTGCTCCACAAGTGTACA